AATTGGCACAAATAAGGAAATAGACTCAAAGAGGTTAAGTCAGCAAGCCATAGTCACACAACTCGTAGAGCACTGGAGCTAGGATTTAAACCTAGATGTGTCTGTCTGTAAAACTGATTCTCTTCTGAGGTCACAAAAAGGCAGCTAAAAATATATTTGCTACTATGGGGCAATTCTATGCTGTTACATGTAGTCTGACCCGTTAAGTGTAGTTTGACTTGGAATCGACTTAACAGTCCCTTCTTAGATCAAAGTTTTAGAGTTCATCATAATCTAAAGAATGCATTTCATGCTTGATAAGTGACTTCTGTAGCCTCACAGTGCCAGGCATTCACATGCCAGGAAGTATCTGCTGACCAGTATAACTTAGCTATACATGTTTCACATGCTTCTCAAGGTGTGTAATTAACTTTCATACTCTATACATGCCTCTTTCATCCATGATCCTCTTTCTGTCAATTGCTTTTCTTGCCAGAGAATTAGAAAAAGGGGGGTAGGGCTTTTATGCCTTTTCCTCTTTCTTAAATCTAACAGCAAACTCAGTAGCCTCAGGAATGACTTGGTGGCCAACACTCTCCATTCTTAATATGAAAGAATATTCAAGTATTCACTTGGAACAAGGCATTTTTGTTCCTATGACTCTACACTTAAAAGAAAGCATCTTCAGTTTAGTCATTTTGTAATAGAGCCTCTTAGCAGATTGCTTGGCACACCTGTAAACAAAGCAAGCATCAATAGCTGCTATAGATGATGCCCTTAAGACTGGGACATTTCAGCTTTCCCACTCAAACCAAAACTAAACCAAACTCACTGCCATCGAGTTGCATCCGACTCATAGCGACCCCTCCTTGGGTTTCCAAGGTTCGCCAACACAAGGCAATATCACTATGGAAGTAGATTGCCCAGTCTTCCTTCTGAGGAGTGGCTGTTGGTTTTGAACTGCCAGTCTTCTGGTTAGCAGTCAAATGCCTTGGGCACTGTGCCACCAGAGTTCCTACTCAAAGGGGGTGTGTAATATGCACTGTGGTTATGATGTACTTCTGATTTCTTTTTGCCATGTATCCTTATTAAAGATGATGATCCCATATAGTTTTTATTTGAGTTCTACTCATTTTGTTGCTTCCTTTCAGCAATATCATAGGTTCACATTTGCAATGAAATACATTTTACACTCATTTTTTTCCAGTGGTATTCGTTATAAGCCATCATAAATCCAAAACCACTGCTGTCGAGTTGATTCCAATTCATAGCAACTGACTCCTCCTTGGGTTTCTGAGGTGGCATCTCTATGGAAGTAGATTGCCCAGTCTTCCTTCAGAGGAGGGGCTGGTGGGTTTGAACTGCCAGCCTTCTGGTTAGCAGTCAAATGCCTTAGGCAACTACACTACCAGAGCTCCCAGCCTATAAGCCATAATAGTCCTCATATTTGTATGACAAAACGGATTCTTCCCACTGATATCTGTGGTACACCTGGCAACTCTATATGTACTTAGTTCTTATCTGATACAGCCCAGAATGACTGCCTCAAGGGATGCCAAAAGCCTCACTTAGGTTCCAGATTCTTCGCTACTCTTCTGTCAGTCTATTTGTTTACTAACTTTCCCTTTTGTCATCTGTGTATAGTTGAGTGGCCTGAACATGTTGTATATACACTTGAATTATAACTGAGAATTTGGGAATACTGTCCTAGGTTTTAAACTTAATAATAGTACCTTTCACTTATGTGTTGTTGTTGTTGTTGTTATGTGCCATCGAGTCAGACCTGACTCATAGCGACCCATCCTTGGGCGAGGCAGTATCACTATGGAAATAGATTGCCCAACCTTCCTTCCGAGACGTGGCTGGTAGGTTTGAACCTCCAGCCTTCTGGTTAGCAGTCAAGTGCCTTACGCACTAAGCTACCAGAGCTCCTTTCACTTATGTAGTAATACTTATATACTGCTTTTTTATATAAAATCTTCAGTTATCCTGGAAGAGAAAAGAATTAAGTTATTGAATATCTGCTAGACATAGGAACTGTGTGCTGGACTTTGTATTATATCTTCTTTCCCCAAAACACACACAGGTGATATCCTTCCCAGTTTACTAATAAAAAAATTGAAGCTTAGAGTTATGGAGACCTACTGAGGTCACACAAGCTGTTAAGTCATACAGCTATAATCTGAAACAAGTCATGCTCCTTGGTCATCCACCTGCTTGTGTGACCTCATCTAGGAGTGATGATATCCTTTTTTGCAGTGCTGTGGAGAGTATGAATGAGATTATATTCATGGAAGTGTTTTAAATTTATAAAGTACTGCAAAATGCTACTTAAATTTTTAAAAATACACGAACTGTATATATCACGTATGTAATTGAGGAAATGTTACAAAATTAGTCATTCACATTTTTAAACATTGTGTTCATTTTCCATAATCTAAATATACAAACAGCTACTTGGTCCCTAAAAATAGATGTCAGGTGACAAAAAGATTGGCAGAGCAGGAATTAGGAGCATCCTCAGAACAGAAGCCAGAGAAGTTTTTGCTTCACCAACACATTGCTGTGTTCACCTGCTCCAAGACCTGCCTACTTCTCTGTAAAACTCTGGCTCAGAGTAGCTCCTCTACATTAGTTGCCAAGTTTACATTAATTAAAGTCTTATGTCAGACCTACAGCAGAATCATTTCAGGTTATTGTTCTGTTAAGCTTTCAATATGCACTCAGCCCACTTTCCCAAATGTAGCAGGAATCATTGCCTCGTAGTATGAAAGCATCAAGAAATTCTTTTTGACAGTATTCGGAGAACATGAAACCCTGAGACCTGTTCCTGGAATTTACCTTCTTTATCTAGTTATGTATTTATAATGGTAAAATTTACTGCCTTCCTAATAATAAAAATAAGGAAGCTTAGAGGAAACTTCTTTTGAGGACAGAATTTAGGGGAGCTTTTGAATTTACTGGCCTAATTATTTATAGTAATATTTATAAGACCAAACTGAAAACTGTCATTCTAGAATATATTACCTGTTAGCTTTTATTACAACAGAAAAAAAGAAAAGATAGGTTACTTAACACATTTCTAATCATATAGATAATCAAAACAGTATCTTAAATTAATTTGCTAGTAAATTAGTTTTAGCATATTTGTAATGGAGATTTAGTACTGTTACTGGCTAGCCTAAACAAAAACATGCAATAATAAAGAACGGTAAAGAAACAGCAAACTAACACACAATCTTAAGTTTATTCCTAAATGCCATCTCTTTTAGGGAATGGGCAAATTAAGAAACATTCAGAGAAGAAATAATGTTTATGAACTTTCTTGTATAGGTGATAATATACACCCATTGCTGTCGATTCAGTCCTGACTCATAGCAATCCTACAGGACAGAGTAGAACTGTCCCCGGAGGGGTTCCAAGACTGTAAATTTTAATGGAAGCAGACTGTCACAACTTTCTCCCATGGAGCAGCCAGTGGGTTTGAACTACCAACCTTTCAGTTAGCAGCCAAGTGCTTAACCACTGTGCCAGTAGGGCTCCTTATTTTAATGAAGAGAGTCCCCCAGATCAACAAGTTGCTACCATGTATATTTTCAAAGATCTAATTTGAGAACACATAACCAGATAAGGAATAGTCAGTCAAATTATAAGCAAAGGTTAGAAATTATTTTAGTTATGCAGTAAGTTTTAATTCTAAAGTCAGCATGTCAGATGAAAATTCTTTAGGAAGGTACAACATTGGAAACCATTACACCATTTAAAGTACAATCGTTGGTTTTCCTCTAGCATTAAAAAGATACGGACTCGATGGCAGTGAGATTGGTTGGTTGGTTTTGTTTTTTTGGAGCACATGTGGCAAAATGTTAAGAATTGGTGAATATAGGTATAGGGTATAAACCCACTGAATAATTTAATGGAATTTTCCTGAGAGTTTGAAACTTTTCAAAATAACAAATTAGGGAAAAGAATATGTATCTTTAAACAAAAGTAAATGCCAGTCCACACTGAATATAATGAGAAGTTTGCACAATGAAAAACAAGACCCACTGAGAGAAGCAGACTCCCATCTTTTTCTCTGGGTCATATCCTCACTGAGTGGAGAGGGCAGAATAATCCTCACAGTTGAAAGTTTTCCAGTCTTACTGCAAGCTAGACACGAAGGTTCAGAAAAGTTAATGCTCCTGGATCAGTCTTTTCTAAACCAGGAGAAATAGTGGTTTTGGCTAGAGTAACACTGGGAATGAAATAGGTAGGGCCAGATTCTGAGATTGTGAAAGCTATACAGGATCTCAAAATTAGAAAATAAAAATCTATGCTGTTAACAACTAAAAGGAGCTCTGGTGGTGTAGCGCCTAAGGCATTTGACTGCTAACCAGAGGCTGGCAGTTCAAACCCACCAGCCACTCCTCAGAAGGAAGACTGGGCAACTTCTTCTGTATCTGTAGAGATACCGCCTCAGAAACCCAAGGAGGAGGGGTTGTTAAGAGTTGAAATCGACTCAAATGCCTTAGGAACTATGCCACCAGAGCTCCAGCTGTGAGTTTGGTTTTTTGGTTTTAAGCAATCAAAGAGGTAGAAGGCTGCTTTTTGTGGATGAAAATGTCCTCTCTCTTAACTGTGGAGGTAGTTACATGACAATATATTTGACATAACTCAGTAACTGTACATTTTTAAGATGGTGAATTTTATTTTATGTTAATGGCACCTCAATAAAGGTGATGATAAAAATAAATAAATCCTAAGCAATTAACAACTATAATTGCTAAATGAAACAGAACCTCAGTATTCTCATCAAGAGGGTACTCCAGAAGAAATTACCTTATTCCTAATCTTGTATTAAAAAGGAATATAACATTACATGAATATGTTTAGAAAGGATATTTTAGTGTGCTAGTACTTAAAGCCAGAGTTCAGTGTGAAAATATTGACTGTGGAGTGACAAGGTAAGATAACTGCATTTTGATATTCCTTTGACAGTTATTACAGTTAAATTGTAACACTGTGTTCTCCTCCTTTAGCCCTGGAATGAGACCAGATGTAAGCTCTCCTCCATCCAGCTCCTCAGCAGCAATGGGACCACCACCCAAACTTTGCCTGGTGTGCTCTGATGAAGCTTCTGGATGTCATTATGGGGTCCTGACTTGTGGAAGTTGTAAAGTGTTCTTCAAAAGAGCAGTGGAAGGTAGTGTGTGTTTTGAAGAGTTTTATTCTTCCTATATCTGGTTCCGTTTTTCAAAGCGAACTTTGAAAGTTCTATTTATATGCAAAGCCCATTAAGGCTAAAAATCTATGAAGTGGGGAGTGTGGCTCCTGGGTCCTCAGTGGAAAGGAGTTTTGTGTTTTTGTTTTTGTTTTTGTTTTTTTAAGAACTAGAAATAAAATAGGAAAAACAGTAAGTAATAATAAATTGAGGGGGAAGGAGTTTGGTCAGGCAGGGGTAACATTGTAAGAAAGTATTATGTGAAATTATGGTGTCAAGTTTGGTAGTAATATAGCATGCTCTTTGTGTTAGAATCATGGATTTAACACCTGTAAATTAGTTTCAAAGCTACCAACTACACCAATATACCAATCTGGTAAAAATGAAGGGACATGGCATTCATTTCATTAAATGTTTTTTTTTCTCTTTCTCATTGAGCCCCAGGGTATTATGCAGAGTGGTATAAATACAAATTAAGATTTGCTCCCAGTCTTCTGAATTGAAGAACTGAAAGATGAGTGAATAATGACAAAGTAAAGGGATTATAGGAGTGTGTGATAACCTGTCTCAGGAGGTCAGAAAAATAGGTATTTTAGTGAAAGTGATTGAATAGTATATTAATATAAACCTTATCCTTTTGTAGTTCAGCCTGCTTACAAGGGCGGCGGCAGCATCTCCCTAATAAAGGAGAAATTGTTTTCATAGCTAATTATTGTTGGAAGTGACTCTATAGTTTTCCAGTATTACCAGTGAATCCTCTTGGAAAAAATAATTGTGTAATATAGTTATTTCTAAGGAATTTTAAGGCAATGTGGCCTTGAGTGGGTAGTTACCTAAAGCTCTGATTATATTAATTTTTTAAGGAAATAAAATTATTCATTCATTATGAGAAAGATCATCATCATTATTTGGCTAGAGTTATGTTTTCATATGCTTGAGAGTTATATGAGCTGTTTTCTTTTTGTAGTTTATGGTCACATAGTGCCTAAGGCACTTAACTGCTAACCAGAAGGCTGGGGGTTCAAACCCACCAGCCTCTTCTCAGAAGGAAGGCTGGGCAATCTACTTCTGTAGTGCTACCACCTCAGAAACCCAAGGAGGGGTCGCTATGAGTCAGGTCCTACTTGACGGCACATAACAACAACAAGAAGTATACTGTGACTCATTGACTTGTTTCACCCTACATAGGCCACAGGGATGCAAGCCTTTGACCATGTTAGCAGCTCTCCACCGATGGAGTAGGATCAAAAGTAAAGCTCCCTTCTGTTTAGTGCAGTGCCTCTAACAACACAGCCCCAAGAGAAGGAAGCCTCCTCTTGCCCTTATTTTACTTTATTTGTCACTTAACTGCCGGAATATTTTTATGGCATAAATGTAGTGATATAATACTGCTATATATAATAAATAATATTGACAAAATTGAAAGTGACATTCAGAGTGAAACAATGCCTTAAAATAGATTTTAAAAATATATGTGTTCTATTCTTTAAAATAGAGCTACAGGGGTCAAGTATATGTTATGGTGTCCAAATATAATTGGGGGAAAGGAGACAGGCATTGATATTAAAGAGCTCATGCATGCCCTACCTAAAAACATCCTGAAGCCATTTAAAAGGGGGAAAAGATAAACATAACCTCCCAAATATACCACCACTGCAGGCCACATGCCATCTGTGCTTAATTCTTGCTTTAAAACTTATTTTATGAAAATTTAATTGAATACTTATTAGCTATACTCTTATTAGCTATATGCTTTCAAAATGTTTGTGATAATGGTATATCACTTTGTTCTGTTTCCTCCTTTATTTGAATTTTAATCATCTTCAATGGTCCCTTCACTTGCTATAAAATTCTGTAATCTGTGACACAGTCTCTATTTTTTCCTTAGACCATTTCAAATAGCCTTCTGTTGGTAGCACAGGTAAAGAGGGGAAAGGAGAGGAGGGAATCCTTAAGCCACAGACCAGCAGTGTTAGTAAAGATACATTTTCAGAAAGCTGTTAAAAAAATAGAGAGAGACATGATGGAAATTTGTTTTAATGCCCAGATATGTTCAGGAACACTCAATAGATTATAAATATGCAGTTTATATAATTTTCATCATACATTCAGCACTCCAGTTTTAACACCTGTTAGAAAATATAAGTTATTCCCACAAATTGTCATAGTATAATATATATCCAAATATTTAGCTACTAGGAAATTTACAGAAGTTTTACATATTTATTGTACAGGCAGCCCAGATCAAGAATGGTTGTTAGGGATTTTTTGATTCAATATTCTGGGAGTCACTTTTCTGCATATAGAAATAAACTGTATTTCTTTCAGTTTATTCTAGAACAATGATCATCGATCATTCTTTTCTTTTTCTCTCTGTCTCTATTTATTAGTCCCTCACTTAAAACTCTTGGTCTTTGACTTAGGACTCCCCCACCCCACTACCACCAAAAGAAGACTTTCTTTGTATTCTCTTTGTGTAAAAGTATATGTAATCTTCATTGGCGGGTCATAATAGAATAGACATTAGCCACCCTTAGTTTACCACATACCAAAAACTTTGTTTAAAACTATGTTTTATATATATCATATCACTTAATTAATGACTCTGGGAACTCTTAGATGCTGCACTTGATTGACTGGAAAACTGAGTCTCAGAGAGTATAACTGGCAAAGCAGAGTTCGGTTTTTTTATTTTTTGGGACTCAAGAACCTGAAGCAAGCTTTTAACCTCACTGCCACACTGACTTCCTAAGAAGGAAGTGGTAAACTCTTATTAACTGAAAGTTTATAATCTAGTTAGGTACTAGATAAAAGTAATCACAAGGGAACTAACAAATAGCTAACAATTACTAAGTGCGTACACTGTGTTAGGCATTGTGCTAAGAATCTTCTATACACTTACCTCTAACAGTTGCAGAAGCCCAGAAAGAGAGGTGCTATTTTTCCAGCTTTACAGATGGGGTAACAGAGGCTCAGAGAAGTTAGTAAACATTATCGAGCACACAGAGTTAGAAAATAGAGCCAAGATTCAGATTTCAGATCAGGGACTTCTTGGTACCAGTGCACTCTCCACTGTACTACACTTCAGGTAAGGAAAGTAGCTCAAGCTGATAGTCACAGTTCACATTAAATCCTCAGATACTTAAAGAGTATGCAGCCTGCAGTAGAGCCTAGGACGTGTTTGTGCAGTATTGGCCAATTTCTGTACCACTTTCATGATCTTGATAATATCCATACATCACTGCTCTACTGATTATTTAAACTTTTCCTTCGCTCACTTTTTAAAAGCTTACTTTTATTTAAAAAGACAGTTGCACTTCCCTATTGATGAACAGGGCTGAAAGTAGAAAATACAAGAAAGATGTTTATCTGTATTTTATTGACTACATAAAGACATTCAACTTATGGATCATAACAAATTATAGATAACATCATGAAAAATGGAAATTCCAGAACAGCTAATTGTACTTATTAGGAACCTGTAAATACATCAACAGGCAGTCGTTTGAACACAACAAGGGGGTACTGTGTTGTTTAAAATCAGGAAAGGTATGTGTCAGATTTGTATCCTTTCACCATTTTATTCAGTCTGTATGCTGAACGACTAATCTAACAACCTGGATTATATGAAAAAGAACAAAGCATCAAGATTGGTCACACTGATCAGTTCTGGTACAGGATGGGAGTAGACTACATAAAAGTGTGAATACCAGGAGGCAGGGATCATTGGGACCATCTTGGAGGCTAGGTACCACATCCACAATAAATAGCAAACTAAAGTCATTTACCAAAAATAAATTCTAACCATAAAAATAAATACAGTGTAAACAAAATGACATTAAGAAATTCCAAAAGGCCTAAAGGCTCTTTACCTAACATCAACTCTCTATTGCTGCTATTATCGTTAGGTGTCATCGAGCCAGCTCCGACTCATAGTGACCCTGTGTACAACAGAACTAAACACTGCCTGGTCCTGTGCCATCTGCACAAACCTTGCTATACTTGAGCCCACAGTGCACCTGCTGTGTCAGTCCATCTTATTGAGCGTCTTCCCCTTTTTCACTGACCCTCCACTTTACCAAGCATGATATCTTTCCTCCATTCAAGAGCAGGTTTCAGAGTGTCTTCTGACATCCACTTTGGTCTTTTCTTCCTTTCCTGTCTTTTTAATGACCTTTTGCTTTCTTCATGTATGATGTTCTTGGTCATCCCACAATTCCTTTGGTTTTTGGTCATTGGTGTTCAGTGCATCAAATCTGTTCTTCAGATGGTCTCTAAATTCAGGTGGGATATAATCAAGGTCATATTTTGGTTCCCGTGGACTTATTTTAATTGTCTTCATTTTCAACTTGAATTTGCATGTGAGCAGTTGATGGTCTGTTCCACAGTCAACTCCTGGCCTTGTTTTGGCTGAAGATGTTGAGCTTCTCCATCGCCTCTTTGCACAGATGTAGTCAGTCTGATTCCTCTCTATTCCATCTGGCAAAGTCCACATGCATAGCCATTTATGTTGTTGAAAAAATATTTGCGATGAATAAGTCATTGGTCTTGCAAAATTCTATCATGTGATTTCCAGTGTTATTTCGGTCACCAAGACCCTATTTTCCAACTACTGGTGATTCTTCTTTGTTTCCAACTTTTGCATTCCAATCAGGAATAATAATCAATATATCTTGATTGCATGTTTGGTCAATTTCTGACTGCAAAAATCAGTAAAAATCTTCAATTTCCTTATCTTTGGCTTTTGTGGTTGGTGCGTAAATTTGAATAGTAATAGTATTAACTGGTATTCTTTGTTAGGAGTATGGATATTACCCAATCACCGACGTATTGTACTTTATGATAGATTTTTAAATATTCCTTGTGGCAATGAATGTGACACCATTCCTCTTCAATTTGTCATTCCTGGCATAGTTGTTGTTGTTGTTAGGTGCCGTTGAGTCATTTCCAACTCATAGCGACCCCATGCACAGCAGAA